CCATGTGGGTCACCTCCAAGGTCAGTGATCGAACTTGTGCTGAAGTGGCTGTGGCCAGCTTAACAGTGCTGTGCTTTAACCTGCTGCACCACCAGAGTGTAAGTTTCTGGATAAGGTAGGTAGCATCTACCGAGCTAACTATCATAATCTAAGGCTGACATGATATAAATGCTTAATAAACATACTAAACACTGATGAATGAATTTTACATTATCTTTCAGTGACAAAAGCAGGGAAAAAGGTTAAAAGTAGAGTGAAAAATGGGCTGAGAAATAGAAGCATGGCTTGGAAGAATTTCTCAGGTAAGTACAATTCCATTTATTCTGTGTTAGAATCAATCATCTTTTTATTTTCTGCTTTTCTCTTATTCATCCTAAAGTACTCCCTAAGATTACTATAATTTAATTGCTTGCTGTGGGGACCTAGCAGGACTATTAGCAAAATTGGGATTTAGTCAATTTTAACTATACATGTTAGGTTAGAAACTCTCTTCTATGGTCAGTTTAGAAAGTGAGTTCAGGCCCTCCCTGGTGGTGCAATGGGTTAGGATGCAGCACTGCCACCTAGCAGCAGCGGCCTCAGTTGAGTTCGACCCTTGGCCTTGGAGGTGATCCACATGGTGCAGTAGACCTCTCCTGTTTTATCCATTGCTCCCCTCAGCAGTGCATTTCAGTTGTTCCACCTGTTCTGCTCCACACTCTGTCTCTGGTAAAGCCTCTTATCGCCCTTGCACTTCTGGCGTGTACCCCAGTTCTGTATGCATAAATAAAAAAATCTTAAAAAAAAGTGAGTTCAGTATTCACTCGCTTTAGAAAGTAACTCACTAGAAAGTTATAGCAAGTATTTCCCTATACAACTATACCAAAAAGTAATCAAATAGCAGACCAGGAGATGGTTCTGTTTACAGAAGTATTTCAGCTAATTTTGTAGCTCTCATGCTGTTAATTATCAGTAGCTATTAATATCACAAAAAGAGAAGGAACCAGATAAGTGATGAAAGACCACAATACCACCTGTAAAGTCTTATTCTTAAACCTCTCTCCTCCCCTCCGAAGATGATTTAATCCAAATTTGATCATATCCCGAGATCCAACTGCCAATTTACAGGGAACCCAGAGTAAACAGGGACATGTCAAAATTAGCCATGGAGGTATTATCAGCAAAATTCAGATTATGGAAAACTTTTTTAAGACAAGAAACTTTGGTTCGTCAGCAAATAAATAACAAGAAAACAAGACTAAAAATGGCTTCACGATATTTTAACAGTGGGATCTGAAACAATCAAGTCTCTGGGCAGGTGATGTTTAAGCTCAGGCATACATGAAAAGAAGCTGACCAAGTGAAGTGGGACAGAATCTTGCACAAACAGACCATACAGGAAAAAGCCCAGTCAATATGAGGCACTCAAAAGTCAGTGTCGCTAAAGTGATGAAAGAGTGTGTTAGGTAGAGATAATTTATATAGGTCATAATAAAGGGTTATCTTATTTTAAGAGTAAAGGGAAGCTAACAAGATCTCCAATGAGGGTAATTTACTCTTTATAAAATGTTGCTGGCAAGGTGGATGTGAGCAAGAAATGGGTAAGCGAGGGGATACTGTGAACTTCCACATGGTGGTAGAGTTAAAGTGAACTAACTAAGGTAGAGGCCTTAGTTAGGTCATCCTGCAGTGAAAGTCAAACAGAGTGAATTTCATTTTCAATTAGTGTCAATGGAGTTTGTCTCTGGAACAAATAACAAACAAAACAAATGAACAAAGAACAAGAAGTTACCATATGAACAGATCCTATAAAAGATAAGATTAAAGGAATCCTGGTATAGCTGAAATAAAAGTTGTAAATACATGTATCTTTTAATATCAAAGGCGCTGCTACAGTGCCACATTTAACTATGACCGAAAGTAGCCAAATAGCCCTAGCAATATTAGTGCTACATGAACACAAACTGGTGGGAAAATCCATGCCAAAAACCAAGCAGTTTGTCATGTTCCACAATATTATCAGAAGGTATCATTTTAACACTGGATGAATACTGGCCCCCAATTTACTACTTTTAAGAGCTCTCATGTACATTACAAACAATGAAACAATACGTGGAAGTATTATGGCGAAAACCACATCTGAAGAATATCTGAACATATGAAGATAATATTTTCCTGACACTTTTCTACACACAGACATGTGTTGACATATGTATAGTAAGTAAGGTTATAATAATTTAATTTACTAACATTTATATTTAAAAAGCATTTATTAACAATTACTGTATGCCAGATACTGTGCTAGCTGTTTGGGATATAATAGTAAGCAAACACAACAGTTTAAAGGAAAACACAACAGCTTTAAAAAGGAAAAGCAGATAGTTAAACCAACAATAAATTGCGCTACAAGCTGTGAGAAGAGACGTCAAGAGTAACTGAGAGTACTTTCTTTTCTAGGAAGGTAGGAACAAGAAAAACATCCAGGAAAAAGTGCCATTTAAACTGAAGGAAAGAGTGAGTAAAACTCATACAATGAACTGACTACAGCAGAACAGGCAAAGGGGACATTGTGTGGAAGGTCTGGGCATGATCGTGGACTACAGGAAGGAGAGAATGGTAAGAAGTGGGGACAGGTAGTCAGAGATACTACTGGAAAAACAGGCAATTAAGAATCTAGATTCTACTGTAATGAAGTGGGAAGTCAGTGAAAGGTTTAAACAAGTGATCTGACCTGTGTTTTGGAAGGATCAATAATCAAAATATGAAGAAAATACTATGAAGGCAAGACTGAAGGCTAAAACAAAAGTTAGATTTCTATATAAAAAGAGATGTAATTTATCATTTAACATTTCCATGTATAGACCATGCAGCTTCCATGATGCCAGAACTGTTTTCTGTTCAATTTTCTATTTTTAGCACTCAATATGGTATCTCACATGCAATATTTATTAATTAAAATAACTTTTAATAGTTATTAACAACAATAGCTACTACTTTTATGACTATCTACTACATGCCACTACTTTTATTATGGAAGAAACAATAACAAACTCAAGAGTTTACGACTTTGCTAGCTAGAAGGTATGGAAGTTAGTCTCAGGTCTAGCGATTCTAGTTACTTAACCATTTATCCATTTGATGGACTAATAATTTAAAACTTAACCTACTGATTAATAGTCATGATGTTCCTGTTGCTGCTATTAAAATATGATCTCTTCAAACACGTCTGGCAATTCTTAACTGATTATCTCACTAACAATTCTTAACTGATTATCTCACTAACATAAATCTTTGATTTGTGATAAGTCAAAGATCAGGCACATTATAGATTTTGAGACATTTTACAAATCTAGTCTTCAGAAAGGTTCATTTTCACACAATTAAGAGCAGTATATGAGAATGTCTGTTAACTTATCATTGCCAATACTAAGAGTTATTGATCTTTGCCAAATACTGGTCTCCAAATAAATTTCATTTTGGTTGTAGTTTAAATTTATACATCCTTACTAATAAAGGTGATCATCTTTTCATGTGTTTACAAATTTCCTTCTTTTATTTCTTGTTTATGCCCTTTGTCCACACATTAAAATCTTTAAATAGCTGATTTGTAAATATCTTTATGAATATGAAATATTAGTTTTTTCCTAGCCATATACATTTGCAAATAATATTCTGATTTTTGTTTGTTTATGTGAAATTCATTGATTCCTTCTTCTATGGTTTTCTATCCATGTCATAATAAAAATTCAGATCATATACTATTCTATCTATATTTTTCAGTTTTCACTTTAACACTAAATCTAATCTATTTAGAATTTGTTCTTATTTAAGAAATATGGAATTGATTAAATTTTTATTTTTTAAATGGATAGCTGGGTGATTGGACAGTTAAGACTTAAAAGTACATTATAATTAGAATATGAATCAAAGTGCTAATATGTCTAATTCTAAGGAAAAAAGTTATCTTGTCCCTACAACTATGTAGGAATGCATAATAGACAAAGCAAGAACCTAAATGTATTATTTAAATGTAATTTCTTTTTTCCTAATTTACCATCTCTAACTTAAAGAGTTTTAGTATTACTAAAAATACTAAAATAAAGTATCTCTGTTTTCACTCAGTAAAATTAAATACTGAAATGAGACATTTTGATTTAAATTTTAATGAATAAAAGCATCAAATGAATTTAATGAAAATTACCATCTATAGATTTAAGTGGGAGTATTTTTTTTATCAATAGCAGGAAAATTAACATCATTTTAGTGAAACTATTAAGAAAATCATTCATATATAAGATGAATATTCACTGAAAAGAAATGTGGAGAAGACAGAATACTTCTCACTATAATTCTGTTACTTTAGGATGCACTTCAATACAATAATTTATGAAAGTATAACAAGATAATAAAATCAACTTGACTTCTATAATATAAACAATGTGATTAACAGCTACACATGATTAGGCTACATCTCTTTTAATTTTTATAAGTATTAGAGAAACTCCTTCCAATAAGATTAATACATAATCTTAAGAACAACAGAAAATAAGAACTCTAAAAAATATATCTGCAAATAATTCATTACAGAAAGAGCACACATATTTGCTGCAAGCAATAATATATCTAGGTCATATGATATATATAACCAAACTACAGCTTAGTATTTTTTTTTAAATAAACTTTTGCTCAAACTAACCATTTTTGACTAAAATAGAAACACACAATTTAGAACTATACTTAGGAAATATACTTAGGAATTCTGAAGGCATAATTGCTAGATGTAATAAAAATAAATGATGGCATTTTGAAACTAAATTCTTCTGGAGCTATTCTTGCAGGAATAACAAACTTACAGATCATTCTGAGACCCATTCCACTTCACATTCCTTTAAAGTATTTAAATGGATAAGTTAAAAACAATACAATAAAATTATTTACTTACCTGACCACTACCAGATGTTGCCATGTTGATTTCTGCCACTCCCTGACCTTCATTCTGCCGCTCAGCTTCATGTGAGCCAGCTTCATGCTTGTTTTGAGATGATCTCTGTTAATATGGAATTCATATCATTACAAACAAAAGTGATGTATGCTTTCTTAGCTCACAGCTTGCTTTTTTTCTTTCTCCTTTTAGAGCTCTGAATCCATCAATTATAAAGGCTCACAAAGGGACAAAACTGCACTGCACACTTCACAACCTCAAGCATCTTTGGCAGTCGACTATTTTGGTCAGAAGAAAGTGAAGTGTGTCCCTTGAGTATTAGAGCTGCACAAGACAAAGGATTTTCTGAGACTCACAGGAACATCATCCTTCACCAGCTGTGCTCATATCACTATCAGGAAAATAATCCAAATAGCACAAATAACTGTCTTTTCTACAATGCCACATGGTTTTGGCATTTAATGGAGCTGCAAAATTAAGATTTAAAAAAATGCTTAGAAGTATTTTGTGGAACTATAGTTATACATATAATATCTATGTGTGTGTGTGTTAATAAAAGTCAAATAAACTCAACAGTTAAAATTCTTAGATTTAAACCAAAGTCCTTTTCCAAGGTAACAACCATCTGCTCTATGAGATGAAAGTGACAGATTAGATCCAGTAAAAGCTTCATTTCAAGATCATATCTAGTACAAAGAAGTCACTTTGTAAAAAACTCCAGCAGAGTATAAAAAAAACCAAAATATTTATTAAAGAGATTACCAATGTACTTGTACTAGGAAAATTATATCCTAAAATAAAATTTATACTTTAAGAAATCTGACATAATAGTGGATTACAAAATGCTTTCCTCAGGAGTTTCTTTACACATCATCTTTCCTAGGTCATTTACAACATGACTTAAAGGATGAACATGCTAAATAAAACTATGTAGGCAAAAGAGAGAGAGATATAATAACTCAGAAATAGAAAAAACAGTACTATGTGAAAAGCATACCAGAATATTCAATAAATTAAAAAAGTAGACATAAAATCAATTTAGAGACAATGAATCACAGATCCCTAAAATCATAAAGACTTAAGACAAAGGTATTCAAATATATCACTATAAAAGCAATCACTGAGCATCTGTTAGTTGCTTGTACTAGGTGCTGGGGAATACAGAGTTAGCAAAACTAGACTTTTTTCTATGTACCCTTGGAAGTGATAGTCTAGTCAGGGATACTGTCAAATAAGGAGAGAATCACAGGTTAAAATTTAACAAAGCACTTGAAAGAAGGGTAGAAAGTGCAAAGAACATGCAACAGAGGGGGTTTGGGGAAAGAGTTTTCACAAGTGTCCTAGATTTTAGGTAAACAGATCACATGCAAAGGCTCTGAGGTGGGAGGAAGTATGTCAAAGGATCATGATGTGGTATGGGACAAAAAGATGATAAATTCACTGACTGCTGAATTTTAGGGTTATTCTAAAATTTAGGGTTATAGATGACACTAGTTTACATCTCACTAGTACTAGTTAATTAATGGAAAATGTTAAAGGCAAATTGATTCTTTTAGAGTAAAATTATAATGATCTAAGTAGGTAGGAAACAGGTGAACGGTTAATGTATTAATATAAACGTGAGATGATAGTACCTTGCCTAAGGAGCAGAGAGATAAAAGAAAGACACAGAGGCAAACCTGAAGGACTTCATGGTAGACTGGATATTATGAGCAGAAGAAGAGATCTGTTGTCAAGAATTACTCACTTGTTCTTTAGTGGAAACAGATTAATAAATAATGATGGTATAATTCACAGGCAGAAAGGATGCCCTGAAGGAACTCCATGGGTTTTGTGGACTCCACCCCAACTCCAGACCACAGCCATCAAGACATAGGGAAACTACAAATCCCATCATCACAGACGGGAGGATTGCTGGGACCTGCGGGTGGAGTTAGGCAGCTAGGTTTTGGTGTAAAACCAGACATGTGGATATTGGGGGCACCTTTGGTTTTTGATTCTTCACTTGCTTGCTCCTGCACTTCTTGGCTCTTGGCTTTCACTGGCAGGATGCATTACTAATTTACCACCCTCCCTTTGGCCCTTAAATATTCATCTCCTCATTTCCCCTACTTTTATAAATAAACCCGTTAGTAACTTTTTTTGTGTGTGTCTGTAGCTGAATATTTTTTTAAGTCATTTTTAAGTGCATGTGTGGGGCCCACAATCAGGCAACCCATTTCATAGCAGGGTTGCCCTGTAACAGTAATACAAAGGAGAATAAGTGTTGTTTGGAAAGAGGATCACAAGGAGGGTTGAGGAGGAAATCATTATTTATGTCTTAGATATGCTGCATTTATTGTAAAGTACTTTTGAGACATTAGGTGAAGATACAGATTAGGCACATAAATTTTAGAGTCTGGAACCCAGTAGTAGAAATATAAATTTGAATGTAAATAACATATAGATTAAGTAAAGTCCTAATCATAAATGAGATGGTCTTAGGGAGAGATAATAGAAAAGATAAATATGCCTTAGGAATGCCTAGAATTATAGTCCAGATAAACAAACACAGTTCTATAAAGGTCAAATGATTGGGAAGAAGCCAAAAAAATGTTTCATAGATTCCAAGAGAAGAAGATTTAAACAACTGCAAGTGTTCAACACACAATGTGGAAAATGTCAAGATGAAGATCAAAATGTCAATTTAATTTAATATGGAAGTTACTGAATGACCCATCGGTGAAACTATCAGAATAGAAACTAATTTTAATAAGACAGAATTGAAAATCCAAAGCACAGGAAGGAAGGCTGAATGCTTCCTGGTAGGAAAGACAGCAACTATATTCTCTGTGAAGAGGTAGAATTAGTAAAGAGTTGAAAGCCATTTCAAATAGAACAGGTGATCCAGAGAAACACATTCCTGCAGGACTGCAATGCTATTTATGATGATGATGATGATGATGGAGGAAAGAACAGAAAAAGACCACAAGGTCAGGAACCTGTGTCACACAAGGAGGTGGGGTAGAGGGATTAACTTAGCTAGTAAACCCAGCTGTAGAAAGTAAGATCCTTAGGCTCCTACACCTAGATCAGGAGGCACAAGACCCAGGAAGGTTATCAGATTGCTGTAAGGTATATCTGGAGCACAGGTCTGAAAATTAAGATATAGAGATTAAAGAACAAACCATCTACCCACGAAGATGAACCCCTTTCTACCCAAAGATTATAAAACGTAATGCTGCCACCACAGCAGGGCAGTTTTTCTGCCCACTTGTGACCTGTACCTGCTGGGACTTCTTTCTGACCTTCCTTAGTGCAGGCCACTCTTCTAAGGCTACCCGCCTACAATTAAGCAGGCCTCTCTCAGCAAACCTGCCCCTTTGGGGCAGCTCTTCCTGCCCACTTGTGTTTATGCAAGTGTCCTTTATTCTTCTGTCCCTTTCCCTAATAAACCTGCTCTTCTAAACATATGACGATTCTGTGACGTGGAGAATCACTGCATGCCTCTAAAGGGGAGCTTTGGTGAAACCTTTCCCAGAGTGAACCCAAGGACCCTACTCTCCAAAACCACTGACTCCAAAAACCACATCATCTGTTGCCCAACATAGGACTTTTCAAGGTATCGGTAAGATTTCTCCAGTTTCTCTATTACTGTGCTCTTAAGAGCTCTTTCTGAAAGGAATAGGTGTTCAGTGACTATCTGTCCTGCATGGACTGATGGGCTCAGGTCAACGCTACTCTGTGGTGGGCCCTAAAATGTGAGGGAACAGCTTTTCAATAACTCTTAGTCCAATCAGGTGAACCCCTTGTACCTCTCTCTCTCTGCCTCACTAGCTCAGTGGAGCCACCATTTTTCTCTCTACCATGGGGAGAAGAGCTCTCTCCTGAGTTCTGTTTTCAAACCAGGTCTTATCCTTGCCACTAAAAATAGTGGGTATGGGTCAGCCATATAAGAGGCTATTAGGGCTTACTGCCATTTTCTAGAAGACTGCTGTGAAAGAATAAGTTGGTGTGTAGCTCTAGTCCTGCCAACCACAACATAGAGGTGCAGCAACGCAGGAAGTCATACTATACATTCCACATGTCCCACCCTACGCTCTCTACCTCTTATGTTTAAAAAAAGGCTGGGACCTACCTGCTTTTTACAACCTCTCACTACTGCTTTTCTCTGACTAGGACCACAATCTTTCATTGCTTTTTTCCTCCATCATAATTAACTACAAATAAACGTACCTGAAGTACCCAGTAAACCATTCTGACTTCCTACTGGTCAGTCCAAATATTTCCCCTCTGTGACTCCTCTCACACCTACTCTCTCTCTTCCAAATGTATCTGTCTTAAGTGCCTTCTTACATCACAGTACTTTAATAGTCTCCTTCCCTTGCTATGAGGACCACATTTCCTCTCCTTGGTTCATAAATGTGCCTTTGAGATTCAACTCTAAACATTTTTGTTGTATATGGCTTAATTTTAAGGCTCATTGAAGACTAACTTCAGTCAATTATTTTAGCTACTGATGTGTTAGAGCTAGGCTTCTGGTCCTGCACTGTAACTCATTTTCTGAAATGTCCTTGCTAACTGGTATTAAAGCCACACGTAGACTGAACGCAAGTTACCTTTCCTTAAAGAATTTCTAGATAACAAGGAGAAGAGTCATTAGTCAACAGTTCCCCTTTAATCTTTTGGCTTGCTACCAGCTTATTACCCTCTGTTATTCTCAGGGAACAATGGGATACACAGAAGCTATTTATATACTGATACTTGAAAATTACACTTTGGGACCCCAAATATTCAGGCTGATAGGGCAATTTTCCATAGCAGGAGAAGGCTCAGGAGCTCAAAGACTAACTAGTTAAAGCTTTAAAGTTTCAAATTCTCCTCCCACCTGGACACATGCCAATTAAGGATCCCAGATTCTGAGACAGCCTTCCTTTCCACCTAGAGAAGAGAGAATGGCAGGGGTAGATAATAAGTAGAGATGCCTGGGGATGCTCAGGCCCAGGGGTCTCAAATTGGGACACCCACAAAAACATGAGCACTCCCTGGGGGTACACCATCGCTACACCCACTGTGGACCCACTGTTACCTAGCCATGACAGGTTCAACTTCTCTTTCAGGCACTA